ATGGGCGACACGGGCGGGCGGGTGGGAGAGGTGGATTCAGAAGCGCTTCTTGGAGCGCTCTGAAGTGGTGGAGGCATCGTGGGTGGAAGAAGGCGGCCGGGGGTTGGTGTCTACCAGAAGTGCTGGCATGGTGGGCGTAGTGGGAGGTCGTCGTCTCCTCACCGAGCGGTATGTATAGAGAGCAGTGTGGCAGTCTGTATGCAGTCTGGTACTAGAGAGGCTGAATGTACGGGTATAAATGCTTGATCACTCCGGGCAGGCTTCGCCGCACAGCAGAGGTGGCGGCGGTCAGGCGCTTGCTGGAGGCGCGCTGCGGCCGTCCATGCCAGATACGTAGGTACAGGGTGGTGTGCTGCTACAATGGAGAGTACCGTCTATGGAGAGTGGCGACAGTGTCGTGGGTGGTGGTGGTGGTGGTGGTGAAGGGCAGCGGGGAGAAGAATTTCGGTGCCTGGCTTGGGTCGGGGCTGGGGAGGATGCGGGGTGGGAGGGAACAAGGAAGAAGTTGCCGTCCGGCCTTCCTCCTCCTCCTCCTCCTCCTCCTACCCTCTCCACTGCTAGGGCTAGATAGGGACGGTAGTCAGACAGTGCCAACAAGTAGTACTATGTACTACTCTACTAGGCAGGTGTGTTATAGCTTGGGTACATGGACTATACAGTATGCCCAGAGTTCATCCAGCCGTTACTCTAGACAGTCGACCAAGAATGCATGGAGGCCCGCCTACGATTGGCCTTCTGTCGTAGGAGTATGTACCGGTACTGGTAGAGTAGGTACAACCCAGTTAGCCATCATGTCATGTACCCCAGCATGTACCGGTACTACCCACCAGGGGGCTAGCCTAGTAGGTAGTATGTAGCTATGTAATTTGCCTTTGACACAAGGACCTGCCATTTTATCTTTCGGCGCCTCACACAGACCATGGCCGTGGAGTGAAGGTGGAGTGGAGTGGCACCTATTGTACCTGTTCCTTGTAGCTATCAGTGCTAGTGCTATCCATTCAAGTGGATGGGCTGAGGTATCAACGTGAATCGCGCGCGCTCTTCTGACGGCCGTGACGGCATTAACCGGAGGCCGAGTTCCATGCAGCCACCGCGAAAGTCTATCAAACAGTCCGTACAGGCAGAGGCAGAAACAGTGAAAAGGTGCAGCAAAGGAGATAGAGTTGGTTGGGCTGAGTGTCTATGCTGGTCCTCGGCCGTTTCACGTCAACTAGGTGTGCGTGTGTGCATGTGTGTGTGTACCTATACGGATGCCTTGGGGTAGCATACCTAGGTTCATATGTGTACAGATCTGCGCCGACTCTGCCGCACCATGGGCACGTCTTCACGTTTGGTCGACCGTCGTGTTGGCGAGCAGAGAGAGAGAGAGAGACGACATGTTGTTACCTTGATGGATTGACAGGGCAAGGTCAAGGGGGTAAAGAGAGTAAAGTAAAGTTAGATGTGAAGGAAGGCGACGAGCACAGAGTCGGGTCAAGAGCAACCACAGGGCCACTTCCTTCCCCATCCACGAGGACCACGCCTGCTTCGTTGGGTGCTGCGAGTCGTCCTTGCCTATTGTTTGGGGGGGGGGGGGGGGGGGGGGGAGTGCTCCATTATATCATGGGTCAGTAACCCCAA